TAATGAACTTATAATGATGCTCCTACTCTTTGAAGGTGAACCGATGGTACCACACCATCTCTCAGTCGGACAGTCTGATCAGTTTGATCAAAATCCTCCAGTTTAAAATCCTCACTGCTCAGATGAATCCTCCTCAAAGATACTTCCACCTCTTCCTCACATCTTGTTCTTTTGGAAACCTTCAAAATGAAAACAGGAGATTTGTGTCTACACAAAAACATTGTGCTGGTGGACATAAGTACAGTACAGTAATATTCTGTTCACAAAATACTAACAATAATATGTTCATCTTACTTGTGAAAAGTTATCTCCCAAGACCTGGCGTCAACAGTCCGTCGATTAGAACAGAAATAAGCTGCGAAGTGCTGAGACATCTTCTGCTTTAACCAAATAAGGATGACCGCTCCAAGATGGCGGCCAAAAATCCTGCGCTGCAGCAGCCAATGAGGGATCTAATGATTATATGATATCTATGGTCCTGTTGCCTCGGGAGCAATAAACAAGAAACGGGGGCGTGGAAGGGACAAACTACCTTCTACTACTCGTCTTTTGCTTTATTGTGCGGAGCTGGGAGATAATCGACTAGTTTCACTCAGAAAGAAAGTCAAGCCCAAATAAGCAATTTCACGTTCAAAACAAGCCCAAAAAACAGCAGCCCGTGACTCACAAGATTTACAAGCAACTTTAGAAAAAAGAAACAAGCCCAAAGTCGCTTATAATAAGCAGACTTTGCAACTATGCACGTAGCCAGCCAACAAAGTACCTAACGGGCTCTGCGAGACATGCCCGCAACAGACAGGAGCACGCTTGTGAATTTTGTTAGCAGATTTAAAGTCGGTGGAACCTAATTCAATAGAAGCTAATTCTGCTAACGGTTTCCAAAGTTAGTGAAAACGCTAATCCATCCATCTGGGTCTTTTCCAGGGTCTCCTCCCAGTCGGACATGCCCGAAACACCTCCCTGGGGAGGTGCACAGGAAGCATCCTTAACAGATGCCTGAAACATCTCAACTGGCTCCTCTCAACGTGGAGGAGCAATGTTTTTACTCCGGGTCTCTCCCAGGTAACTGAACTCTCATTCTATCTCTAAGGGAGAGTCCCCTGCGGAGGAAACTCGTTTCACGGCCTGTATCCGCAATTTCATTCTTTCGGTCACTACCCAGAGTTTGTGGCCATAGTTAAGGGTAGGAAGGTAGACCGACCGGTAAATGGAGAGCTCTGCCTTACAGCTCATTCCTCTTCACCACAACGGACCGTCACAGAGTCCGCAATACTGCAGACATCGCACCAATCCGTCTGTCAATCTAACGCTGCATTATTCCCTCACTCGTGAACAAAATCCTGAGATACCTGAACTCCTCTACTTGAGACAGAACCCCACCCTCGACCCAAAGAGAGCAATCCACCCTTCTCCGACTGAGGACTGGCCTCAGATTGGAGGAGTTGATTCTCATCTCAACCGCTTCACACTCGGCTGTGAACCACTCCAGTGAGAGCTGGAGATCACGGCACAATGATGCCAACAGGACCACACCATGTGTAAAGAGCAGAGATGGAATCCTGAGGCCACCGAACCAGAATCCCTCAGCCCGCTGTTTGCACTAAGAAATTCTGTCCTTAAAAGTTATGAACAAAATCCGTGACAACGGGCAGCCTTAGCGGAGTCCAACTCCCACCCTGAAGGGGTCTGACTTAAAATACAAACCAAATTCTCGCACAGCTTGTAGAGGGACCAAACAGCCCGTAGCAACAGGCCCCCAACCCCATACTCATGGAGCAACCCCTACAGTGTACCTCGAGCAATACAGTCAAAAGCCTTCTCCAGCTCCACAAAACACATGTAGACCTCTTGGCCCTCTGGTACTTCTCAGCTGTTTCTGGAGTCTCAACAGCCAACAAGGCCCAATAGGACTCCTTCTTCATCTTGACAGCCTCCCTAACTCGGGATGTTCACCACAGAGTTTGAGGATGGCCACCACGAGAAGCACTGACAAATTTGCGGCCACAGCTCAAGGCAGCCACTTCAATAATGAAGGTGTGGAACATGGCTTACTCAGATGCAATGTCCCCTGCCTCAGCTGGGATGTGGTTAAAGCTCTCCTGGTGGTGCGAGTTGAAGATCTTTCTGACGGGTTCTTCTGCCAGGCGTTCCCAGCAAACCCTCACTCCACGTTTGGGTCTACCAGGTCTGTTCGGTATCTTCCCCACCATCTGACCCAACTCACTACCAGGTGGTGATCAGTTGACAGCTCAACTCCTCTCTTCACCCGAGTGTCCAAAGCAAACAGTCCCAAATCAGATGACATGACTACAAAGTCAATCATCGATCTATGACCTAGGGCATCCTGGTGCCAAGTGCACTTATGTTCTAACATGGTGTTTGCAATCGCAAAAACACTAATCCACTAAACAAAATATTAGTTCAGCTATTAGCTGTTAGCAGATTAGCGGAACTGTGCCCACTACTGTAATGGGGCGTAATTGTGTATTTATATTTGACACATACAAAATATATGCACAACTACGTACGCCACCTTTGCTAATACAGGTTTCTCAGTAAAGGCCTGGTTCCTAAAACCAGCCAAACATGTAAAACCTAGATGTGTTATTGATACAGCAACAAGTCTGTGAAACGTATTATCATTTCTAACAAGGTTAAGTCAGATTTATCTTCCTGGATTATTGAACATGCATCAGGCTGTTATCATTTCAGTTTTTTTGCCGTCTACATGTTCACTATAAATTTTGCCTATCATTTTTTGCCTCAGAGTGTTGGGGAAAGAAAGGCTGCCTTGAGGTTTTACTTGAATCCTAAGAATGTAGCTTGCGTTACCAGAAATACAAAAAGTGGTAGATCTGGCTTGTTTAGTGTTAGCTTAACTTGTACACTCCAATAGTACAGACATTATTGTGAAAAGGATATTTATGCTGTTGAAATTCAATGCTATCCTGCTCATTTGCTTTGAGGAAAGCCAGTACCATGCTTAAATAAAGTATCTCGTTAAATATTGTCCTTGACTTTTTGTTTCCCACAAGGGCAAAACATTTCACATGAAACAGAACAAAACTGAATGTGTTAAGCCTAGTTGAGCAAAGTAACTATATGTAAGGAAATGTAAAAAGTTGTTTGCTTGAACTACTTTTTAAAAATCCATTGCACATTGTTTTAATCAAATAGTTGCTCTGCCACATTACCCTTAACAAGGTCCAGTTCACAACATAAATGACATTAATCTATTACATTACAAGTCAAATGGCGGCTTCACTGTCAGGTACAGAAGCGGCAGTGGTAGCTTGGTGGTCAGTGCTGTGGTCTTGTAATCCTGAGGTTGCAGGTTTGAGTCCAGGTTGTGTCAGGTAGGGCATCCGGTGTAAAACAATTGCTAAATCTATCATGCTCGCTGTGGCGAGCCCTGAAGAAGAGAGCAGCCCAAAGAAAGCGTTGTCAGGTAGAGAAGGTAAAATAGTAACCATGGAGCCAGATGGAATTAAAAAGGTAAACTTTTATTATTACAAATCAAAATGGAATAAATCAGACTGAGGGATCAGGCTGGAAAGGATGTGCAGCAGGTTAGGCTGTTAAAGATACAAATGGTAATGTTTTAACAAGTGAGGACAGAGGATGCAGAGGACAGAATGAGCTGGAGGAGGATGACTTGCTGTGGGACCCCTGAAGAGAGAAAAGCCAAAAGAAGAAGAAGAAAATGGAATAAATTAGCGTAAAATAATTATTAAAAGGCATTTGGATTGAAACATAAATTAAAACATTCACACTTAAATACCATATTAAAGGCATACAATAAAACATTAATAAAAACATGCCCCCCCCCCCCCCAAATACATGTAAAACTTTTTTATTGCTTTGTCCTGTGACCGTTACTAACAGTTAGCAG